TAAATGTAACATTACATTTAACAATTGAATTATTCAATTGTTGTCGGCAAAAGTTTGAATTAAATATTCAAATGGTCGGTGGACAATTATTTAATATTTGTTGGACGGCTAATGTGAATGGCAAAATTTTCAAAGTCAATATTTGCGGCAATTTAGTATGAAATTGAAGGAAAATTTACGGCCATTTGTAGTATAAATATAGAGCGATGCAGCAGAACAACAAGCAGCGTAGAACAACAAAAGTGCTGAGTGATATTACCATTTGTAATCTTATAATGAGTTAATATAAAATCTAGTTGCGCCCGTGGACGTAGGATTTACACCGAATCCGAACCACGTAAAATCCTTGTGTTCTTTATTGCTTTATTTTCTCGTTTCGTTTGTGAGTGTGTGATAGTGTTTCCGCTGCGTGTACCCGGTCCGGTTCCTAACATAAATTGCTCTAAAATGACATTTTTGCACAATTTTGACGTGCAGCCTAATCAGTTTTTTTTTATACCATTTTCACAAAAATTTACTCATTTTCAACCATCATTTCCATATGTCAAACTAATATGATAAAAGAATCCCCTTCTGTTTTTATCGGAGGCAATTCCCCGTACATGTTTGTTTTTCTATGACCACTAACAAAAGTCAAGGACATTCATTATCAAATGTCGCATTATACTTGCGTAGATCCATCTTCACTCATGATCAGTTATATGTAGTTGTTTCTCACGTAAAAAGACTTGAAGGTACTCATATGTGACGAGGAAGGTCGTCCAACTAATAAAACAAAAAAATATTGTCTATAAAAAGGTCTTTCAACGATTATAGATATTCAGACATTTTATTTTATTTTTTAGACATTTCAATATTACAATAACCCGAAGTTTGTTTTTGTTACTTTATCTTTTTTTTTAATTATTGTGTCAGATTTTTATAATTTTATCTGTATTTTTTATACGTCCCCGCGTTTAACCCGGGTCATAATCTAGTTATATATAAAAACCCTATTTTTCTCCTTCCTCTTACATCAAATCTACGCGCTTTGTTGATCGACACATCACCTATATTCTAGACGCCGTGGACATCAACATTGATTCAAAACGCCTCCCGATCCACTGTGTCGTATCATCTCCCCATCAACTTTCAACGTTACAATCCCACAAATCGTTTAGTTCCCATTTTCCAAGAAACACAAACATCCCCTACAATCCACCGACATGCTCTATCTTTTCTAACTGCAACCCCGCCTTTCTCCCCAGCACAACTCCGATCGGCGATCACATCACCCAAAAATATCTCAAACTGATTTGGCGGGGATAGGATTTGCTTCTTATCTTTCTTTCATAGGGATTGCGCTCTCGGTTTCTCCTTTTCTTCCTTTTCCTTTCTTTCTCGAGGCGAAGATAGAGCACTGGGTATTCAAGATTATAAAAACCCTTAAACATGTTCTTCGTCATTGGCAAAAACCCGCCTCACCAGAAAAACTCTATAACGTCAGAACGCAAATCAGTTATGAAGATTAAATCGAAATCAAGCATGCTAATCAATGATGAACAAGATATCAGATCAATCGGGGTTAGGGAATATCAGGGACACAAGAAGAAGGCAGAAAAACTCTATAACGTCAGAACGCAAATCAGTTATGAAGATTAAATCGAAATCAAGCATGCTAATCAATGATGAAGAAGATATCAGATCAATCGGGGTTAGGGAATATCAGGGACACAAGAAGAAGGTGAAATCTCACTCTTCTCTCCTCCTCGCTAAAACCTAATTATTAGTTTTTCTGTTAATGAATGGTACGGTAGCCCTGTGCCCATGATTGTTCTGTCCATTAAAAGTCTTGGAATTGCATCGGAACAAAGCTTGCCTCAGGTTCAGACGATTAAACGGCTCCTGCTTTGTTATTATTACAGATAGACCAAGGGAACTGGAAAGAGAAGAAACGGGAGATTCCTGCTTTGTTGTTTCACATATTGATAAACGTTTTCTCCCATTGAATATAAAGCTTTTGAAAACAAGACAATTTCTTACTCTCCATTATTCTTTAGCTTTCTGGTCCTTTTTCCTCTTCTGCTTCCGCAAAACCACCCTGAAGTACGTATTAATCTATTATTATACAATAATACAACCAATAGGTGTATGTTAATCTCCCATAAATATGTGTTCCTGGTTATTATTATTTTTTTTGTTTCCTTTTAAGAAAAGGAAGGAGTGAATTTTTGTCATAAAGAACTTTTATGGATGTGTTGTCAACTTGTAATGGTTGTAAGATTTCATACAATTTGATAAAGCTTACTTCATAAAGAGTAATAAAGGTAATAATGTAATGAACTGAACATTGGGATCCTTCAAAAAATAAGGATTTAACTGCTAGAATTATAGTGGATCATATTGAAGGGGTTTGAACCCAAGATTCTCAACTAGAAAGAATTAAAACAAATGGATTTGGTTAAAACCAGTGAATTTGAAGCATTAAAATTTCATTATTACTTATTATAATAATCGATTTTATGAGGATTAAAAAAGATTTTTCACAATAGACCCATGAGGTATTTCTCAATTACTTCACTAATTTAATCGACTTCAGTTCAATAGCTTTTGATTTAATAACTTGATGATTAACTGTTTTAATATTGTTTGAAGAATTTTTTTATCAAATTTCTTGTCATTCCACTATATAATAGAACGTATCACCATTTTAATCCGTTTTTCAAAGAAACAACTCCATCAGTTCAGTTATGGAATATTTACCATATGTTAGTTTTAATAGTTGGAAAGTTCTTAATGATCATGTAGTAGCTATTAGTGCCTAAAACATGCACATGTTAAGAGGCCTATTAATAGTCATCCACTTACTTTTTTGAGAATGACATTTGGCTATATTAGCTTTATAGAGCATATTGGCATTGAAGGAAAACATTCTAGAAATAAACAACCGAATCAGATATGGTTTCCACATACCGGTTATAATCACCATCTATTGTATAATAGTTTGTGGCTACTTGAAGACTCAAAGTCCCAAGAATATACAACTTGACCTGAGATGTAAAGAAGATTGTTTCCAAGATGGTCAAATTGTCTTTGATTTTTTATATGTGTAAAGTTAATTACCAACCAAAGAAATATATATTAAGAAAAGGGATTCCGTCAAGATTGATAAAGTTTTTTTGGTGTTTGTAGAGACACTCTTTGACGAATTTGTTCCGATTCATTTATTTGGGTACCAAGCAAAGGTAATGATGGTCCGTAATCAACGCCTCTTATGTATATTATCAATATCAATGAGATTTGAGTTAATGGAGGTTAGACTTTAATTAGATTAGTTTCTTGATCTTAAAATCACAATATTCTCAAAAAAAGAAAAAAGAAAACGTTTATCTTCTTTTTTTAGCTAACATCTTGTCATATGTTGCCAAATTTCAGTGAGTGCCGGTGAGACAACATTGTTCTTGATATATTATCAAGCACACTTAAAAATTTTGTAACGAACGGCTAAAAGCACTAAATGCAAAAAAAAAAAAAAAAAAAATCAATTTACTGCCATTAATTTGTTTATTATAGTGTCCTACTTTCATTTCCTCATATTGCAATATTATACATAATTATACACATCGAGATTTGATGAATTGAAATGACTGCCTATTCAATAAATACTTGTGTATGATCTTTAATATTCTCATAGTTTCATGGTTTGTGAATTTGGTCTTTTAACTATTGCTATATAATTTCCATTTAATTTGTTGCAAATCATAGAATGTATTTCAGACAGTTAAAAAGATGAACCAAGTTAAGCTCTTTGACTGTCGGATTTATGCCTCTAGCTAAAAAATGTAGGTAAATTTCTTTTTCTGACATTTGTAATAACTGCATGCTACAAAGTTACGGTTTGATAATTTTTTTTCCATCATGCGTGAAGTAGTGTGTAGATTAATGATATTTATGTCAATTGTCATGCTGACATGGTTCCCTTCGTATCATAGTTCCCAAACAAGATTGTTGCTCGACCATGCGTTCAGTAGGGGTATCTAAATTTTAATGATTAATGAGGAAACACAAGGAAAGGGCTAAACCTATTTGATGGGTTATTTGTGTTTTATAGCATCATACTTTTATTTCTTGTTATCAACGATTATACTATCAATATTTACTTATTAAGGCTTTGTATAATGAAAAATCCACTCAAATATGGTATTGTACTTTCAAATACCTAACTTATCCGAGCTACTAGATTTTCAGGGTGGGTCGTGCTGAGCACGGGCCTCTAAGGTTCCTAGTATATATATATATATATATATATATATATATATATATATATATATTATATATATATATATATATATATATATATATATAGGGTTGAGATCGGTTGAGAACTCATAGTTTTCCGAGAACCTGAGAACTAAAAGTGGAGCGTTTAATCAAAATTAACTGATTAAGGGCATGATCGTCATCTTACCAATCTTATTTAATGTTTAATTTTTTTTGTTATTAGAAAGATTAATAAAAAGTTCTAAAAAATTAACATAATTGGATTAAGAAGTTAAAAAACTTGAAATCAAATTAGGGTTCTTGTGGAGAACATACTAGTGGGAAGAAGATCACAATAGGATCGTTCTTCTTTGATTCCAACTAAAACATTTGCAGTCAACAATTGGGAAAAATTTTGTTGGCCGCATAATCAGGGTTTTCCGATTGGCTTTTTGTTGTAGAGGAACCGGTGAATTGCAAAAGGAAGGCATTCAAGGGGATGCCACGATTAGGAAAATGTAATCGACGTTTCAAAGGGATTGAAGACGACATTTTGGTATGTTGCGTCGTTTCGGGAGTAGGCTATGTGTAGGTAATGCAACCCTATGAAATTTTTCTAGACGGCACCACATTAAAAGGGCTTTTATATATAGTAACGATATCTTTACTATATTATTAAACATATTGTCTTTTTTTTGAAATTTAAGAGGTATACTTATTACAACATCATAACATCATGTACAATTTTATTAAGCTTACCATGAAATCGGACCTCTATCTCTACGTGGTGGAAACACTAAACCCTAGCCTCCTCGACACAACATCTGACGTCGTCAAACCTACCCCCTCTATCGCCTCTCTTCTAGCTCGCTTCAGTTTTCGGTGTACCTCCGGTATCACCATCCTCGGTCACTCAAATGCTCTTCCTCTTAACCTGGATGATTGAGGCCCTGCAACTCTACTTTTCTCTACCCTTGTTTCTCTTCTCAAAACCCCAATCGCACCTGTGTCTAATGAAGATCCAATGAAGATCCAACTTTTGAAACCCTATCTAGCCACTTTCATTGCCACCCCCTCTCTTGCCCCTCTTCTACCTTCTATTATGACGAGAAACCCTAACAGTCTCCACAATCTTAATCGTCACCACCAACGAAGAGGTGGGGACAAGGAGAATGCCAAGCCATCGATTTCTGATTCATCTATCTCATTCATTCCTCAGTCGTTATCGACATTTACATGGTAAGTTTTTTCAATCTTTTTTCTTTTTGACCTAATTCTCACATATTGAGACCGGTAACACAAAGACAAAGAAGATTGAAATTTAGCGTCATTAAAAATGATGCATTTATATGTTTATATGTTTGAAATGATCCATATGTATTAACATACCTGATGTCAAACAATAATCTGCAGCAAATGCTTTAAACTAAATTATCTCCCCTGCTTCTCAATAGACCCTTTGGTGTTTACACTCTTATTATATCAAACAAATCATTTATTTTGATCAGAAAAACATTAATTCTAGAGTATTAATTGGTGCAGCAATACAAGTACATGAGGTTTTTGCTCTTGCACACTAGAAAAAAAACATTTCTTGGAATGTTGCATAGTATAGGATTGGTTCTTCTGCATTGGTTGTGCTGCTCTGATTTTGAATCGGGTAGAATTAGGTCTAAAATTGGTATAAATTTATTTGATTTTTATGGATAAACGAATAGATACTCAAATGAGATTTTTACTGTTTTTCTAACCTATCAGACTACCAGAGAATTGGTAACACTGATCAGATTGTTAATGTTGATTTTCGTTTTCTGGGTTTTTTTGTACTCCTCGATTGGTGATTTCATATTCAATACTTCATGTAAGTTTGTTTAATTAGTTTAAAGGATAATTCAGTTTGATTTTCATTTTAATTTTGTAATTTATTTTCTTGTAATTTTTCAGGGTATTGGGAATACTTGTGGTGCTTATGTTCATACCTATTGTTGAGAAGAGTAAAAGGGGTATATTTGTAGCCACGTATTGATTTAGCATGTTCGATGTAGTATCAACAGAACCACTTACATGGAGATTGGTCAGCTATGCGTTTTGCTTATGTTGATTTCAGTTTTTCGGGTTCTCTCCCTTCTGTTTATCTGTTTCAGTCACCATCATTCACCACTTGAAGCTTGATCAGCTGTGCGTTTTGCTCTTCTATACATCATATTTTCTCTGTTCTTTGGCTTTTTTTAGATACAGAAAAAGAAGGTCAAACATTTGGATTATGATAGAGAATCAAATCAATTTCATGGTCACTTGGTGTATAAGGTAGGTTTAAATGATCATCTAATATCCCAAGAACATTAGTATTCAAAAATAAACATATGTCTATTTCTTGATGCTTTTGCAGGTCTCACACAGAGGTAATAAAGTAACACTTACTGGGGGCAACTTAGTCAGATTTGGTGGCAAAGATGCAAATAGAACTCTCTTGAATGATCTCCACATTTTAGACTTGACAACTATAACCTTGGATAAAATTGACAAACCATAAGATCTTTTGCACTAATATTTTTGTGGATACTCTGTAGTTGAGATAACCCTGTACCTGCAGTCATCTTCTTCATTGTGATTAGTCTATTAACTAAGTTTTATTGTGCAGAAATGAAAAGCTTTGGAAAGGAAATTAACAATGCTTTGATGCCAAAGTCTTTGACCAGGCCAGACTGTGAGGTTATGTGCTACATTTTTTTGGTTGGATCAATTCTATAATTTGGTATTTTTTGGATTGGATTGACGCTCTTTTTGATAATATCTATTAATGATGTTTATTTCAAATATTTTTATTATCAAGGCATTCTACTATGAAAGAACACTATTTTAAAGTATACTTTCATTTCTCTGTCAATTTTTTTTCTGATCATGGTTTTTTATTGCTCTCTAATTGATGGTTTTACAAGGAAGGAGGGACATTTAACATTATGGAAGCATCTGCAAAGTCTTTTCAAAATTAAAGTTATGTGCTTTTGAGAATTCTCATCCTGAACTGCGTCTCCACCATTATAGGATCGTTGCTATCCTCCACCCTCTTGGTTATTCTACCTGGAAACAACACCTTTAACGATGATTTCAGTGGGATTAGGTTTCAATATTATTTTGGAGGTCAAATTTAGCTAAATACGAAACCATAGAGGCCAACATGTGCTTCCTCCTCTAGATTACCCCTTATTCAAGTCTCAAAAATTTTAGCGGGCACTATTGCTACAATTATAAATCTTAAAATGGGTTTCAAAGTGCATTGCTAATTTTCATAATATACTTTTTAATGTTCTATTGATTCTCCAAGCCTTGGTGAGTCATGTTGCTTCAGTTTCATATCATCATTTTGGAGCTTGGTGTCAAGCATTACTTTAAGGGGATAGAGTTTATCTCGAAAACTTTCTTTATTTTGTTCACAAATTGGACAAATTTACCCCTGGTGTTTGGAATTTCCAGAACTCTTGACCTTTGTTTCCATTTCCCACATATATCAACTATTGTATTTGAAGTTCAAGGCTACCAACTACAATTTTATGAGGTATTTGACTCAAAATACTGTAGCGACATTCAAATATATTTGCTTCTGGCATGTATTAGTACTAACTTCATAATATTTGTCTGTTCTTTTAGGCCTATGTTCATGAGGTTTATTATTTTACACAATAAACTATAAATTTGAAGTTTTTTTTTTATAGTTGGATTATGTTTCATGGGTTTATGATAGGTGGATAATGCTTCATGGGTTTATGATGAAGATGCATAAGAGGAGAGTATCTTTAATGATTATGACAAGTAATTTCAGTGCAAAAAGGTCGCTCTAAAGCTAAATGTCATGTTGGCAAGGCATGTATTTAACCCTTTTTATATCTATTTCTTCAAATCATAGGTAAGACTACAATAGTTACAATTGATGGTATTGGACATATCTGGACTCAAGTAACCTATTAATCCAACAAATTGAAGAGCAGAAATGTTGGTGTGGAAGAGTTGGACGAGTAAATTCTCTGTTAATTATCAACTGATGCAAACAAATAAGTGAGGGAATTAGAAACTATTGTTAAAAACATTGGTAATTTCATTCATTGATGCATGTTTGATCTCTTCATTTTCATTAGCTCAGGTGTTAATGTTGTTGTAGTATAAATAGTTTTTTTTTTTTTTTTTTTTTTTTTGCAAAAAATATGGATCCTGCTTTTGGTCCTTTTCATGTATTTATTTGTGCTTTAGTTTCTTTTCATTTATCTTATTTTTGAAATTAATTTTATCACAATGCCATTACATTTTAGCTTGTTTTAGAATATATATATATATATATATATATATATATATATATATATATATATATATATATATATCATTGAACACTTAATGAGAAAAAGAAAGAATTCCCTTCACTACCTCTCAACTAAAGTTGTCAAGGAACTAAGTAGTTTATCGAATTACTTTTGACAATATTGTGTAGTATATAATAAAACTTTTGTTGAATACATTTATAAAAAATAAAATGCAAACAAAATTAGACATGTAATCTATGAAAAACGATTTTGTTTTGTTTGTAAAAGAACAAATTTCAACAAATAAAATATCATTTTTAATTCCTTCGTTAATTAATAATTTTGAAATACACATCCCAACAAACACAAAACACAAGTATGTACACGCATTATAATTTTTAATGATAAATGACATTTGAAGATGCAACGTGTTTTCTTTAAAATATGATATTATGCCAATAAAAAACTATTCACCGAGAGTTTGCATAAATAAAAGTAAGATTTGTAGAAAACAACATTGTGAGTTCCTCTTAATAATACATATTTTCTAAAGAAAACGTTGTGCTGAAATGAAGCTTCGGGCTGAAAGGAAACTATTCACCGACAATGAAAAAAAAACTACTCTTCCAAATGTAGGTATTTATCTTTCACAATCAGTTTTCTTGGATCGTCAACTTTATTTGGAGTTATCCAGATGGATATAACACCCCAATACAAAAGTATTAGTGAAGTCTGATGAATAATTCAACAGCAGTAACGTCTATACATCAAATGTGGTGTGTCAAGAAGTGTTGCATGATTAATAATGTCCAATCAATCATATGTTCGTACACATTTTTAAACAGTCTTAACTCTTTATTTTTTATTCTTATCGATTTCATATTTTCTAACATTACTCTTATTGATAATTTTTTAGATGTAGTAAACTATTTGTGCAAAAAACTATTTGCCACTAGAAACTATTTTATGAAAGATTCACACCCGCCGCTTAGCGCGGGTAAACGGCTAATGTCTATATATATATATATATATATATATATATATATATAATATATATATATATATATATATATATATATATTATATATATATATATATATATATATATATATGCATTTTTTAGTGTAAAACATTATGTAAAAGAATAATGTAAGTTAGAGATTAAATAATACTTTTATCGTTTTTAAAAACTAAAGTTATGAAAACACAATGAAATTTTGAGTTTGATTTTATTTAGTCATTAAAGTCTTTTTGTGTCATATCAATCCTTAAACTTTCAATTTAGCTATTAAAAAGGGGAAAAGCAAATTTGGTTCCAGTTTTCAGTTTTTCGGTTAACGGTTGTTGATTTGTTTTTTTCTTTATATATATAAAAATTAACAATCAATATTTTAATTTACATGGTTTTTTTATCAAAAATAATTATGAAAAAGTGTTCTTTTCTTCCCCTCTCAATCGTGAAGGAGAAAAGGAAGACAACAAAAATTATTAACAAGGTTGAATCTATCAAGAACGAAAGAGAACATGTTAAAGTTTTGGCTATGGCAGAATATGAGACAAAAAAAGAGAAATTGGGGAAGAATTGAAAATGTATGATAGTAAAAAGAAGATGATTGAGTTATTTGAGTATGAGATATATGTACGTGTTCTCCACCAACTACAGAGAAAGGAAAAATTCTAACCCACTACGGCACTACCTCCTTCTTCTCGATTGATGGTTGGAAAAAGAATCACAGTCATATTCTATATGTGTTCTCCTTCGTCTTCTCAATTGATGGATGGCTAAAGAATCAAGAACAGGGCTGCTACCCATCTCACACAGGTATGAAAATGAAGATGAACAAGGGAATCCTCTTCTTGAATCAGGGGTTGGGTTGGATCTCGGTTTCTACATCTCTAAAATCGATTACCAAAATACTACAAAGCCGTCAACTGAGATAGTGTTGGTGGGGTGTGTGTTAGTTGATAATTAAACACAAAAAAGCTTCGATTTCATATTTTTGCTTCGATTTCAGACTACAGACTCACAAAACAAAGCTTCAATTTCAAGATACGTGAAGTCAATGGTAGATCTTATGCTACAGAAATCACCGTTGATATACACGTCGGAAGGGAGAAACTCGATAGATACCCGAAACCTCCATAGGCATAAATCACGAGATCGTGAACAGATCTACCGTTTTCCTCACAATGCAGGTAGTATTCGTGAGGGAAGATATCAAACATGCTCATAATCACGTCTAGGATTTGATTCGGCGACAGAGTGAAAACTAAAATGGAAGTGCACAACTGAGATGTCCTCTGTAATCCCCTATTCTTCGAGAGTTATTGCGAATAGTTTTTCATAGGGGTGCGATTGCGACCCGGTTGAAGAAACATAAAAAACACTGAGGTATGGGAAGAAAAGAACACATTTTCCTAGAAGTTTTTACACAAAATTGCAAAAATGGTCCCTATGCTATGTCAATTTCTGTGTGTAAGGTCCAAAAAACAGTTTATTAACAAAAAAATGTCCTTAATTGTTGGTTTTGTTGTGGTTTTGGTCCCTACCTCGTTAAGTTTAACAGCATGACTGTTAATTTTTGGCAAATGACGGATTTACCCATGGGACTATTTCTATAATTTTATATTTTTACCAAACTACAAGGACCAATTATGCAATTTTTCTTTTTCATTTTATTGAATTATTAAATAATTGAATTATTTTTTTCTTTGTAATTTTTTTCTTGTTGTATTATTTTTTATTGGATTATTATATATTAATAAATATTTTTTTAATATATTATATTTATATATTAATAAATATTACTTTTTTATTATTAATTTTTTTTAATTTCTTCTATATTGCATTAATTCTTTTTTGTTGGATTATTATATATTAATGACAAAATTGCAAAAATGACCCTTGTGGTATGCATTTTTTTGGGGTTTTAGTCCAAACCCCGACTTTTTTGGATTAGTGGTCCTTTTGGACTAGTTTTTATGTGAAAATGGTCCCTCCGAAAATTGAAATGACTAAATTGCCCTCTTTATATAATTTTTATATTTTTCTATTTAATTTAATGTTTTATTGATAATAAAATGGGGCCCACACCCCATTCTCTCTCTCTCTCTCTCTTTTCACACACAAACACACAGATCCATTAGGATCATTTGGAGGCTTCAGATGAACTCATTCATCCTCAATCTTAACTCTTTCAAACTTCCCCAATCTCCAAATTCATGTCTGATAAGCTCTCCAAAACAAACCTTAATCTGCAAACTTCACTTATGGATCGTCGTCGTCCACCATAGTCAGACACCCACCAAAGATGGATTGTCGCCATTCATCAAAGCTATGATCTTCTCGATTTTGCCAATATCATTTCAACCTCCGCCATAGCTTAACTACCGCCACCCAAAGACATGTCCTTGCTAACAACAGTCTCACTGGAACAATTCCCGAAGAGCTAACCGCTCTTCCTGATCTTAAAAAATTAGACCTCGCCAACAACAATCTCTCTAGCAAAATCCCAGTTTTAAAGAGAAATTTGGATCTACACACAGCTAGGAATGCTATATCGGAAAGGTAATCACCAATTCCATCCTTCTCTTCGCCTTCAACAAATCATTCCAGGAATACCAAATTCATAAATTCCCAAACCCCCAAATCAATAATAAGAAGAGAAAATCCTGGAGACTTGCAGCTGTTCTAATTCCGAAAATGGAATCATGGGGACTTGCTTCCTGTAAACGAAAGGATAACGAAAGCTTATCATTCTACAAATAATTTCTGAAGGAAAGTTGCACTTCTAGGAGGTTACTGGAGGGTGTAACAACGATTAATTCCAAAAACAGAGGACCATGTTTAATTTGTAAGAATGTTAGAAATGGACCTTATTGACCTTCAAGAACAGATGAAGCATTTACAACCAAATTTATACAGATGAACGAACAACTTGAAGAATTGAAACACCGAGAAAAATCTTTTTGTTCAGCTATAGAGACAATAAATGAGGAATTCAAGAAGCTCTTTGGGAACTCTTTTTGTACTGTTGTAAACAGATGATTTAATTGAAGAAATGAAGATCCAATTTCTTAGATGGGTTTTTTAGGTGTAGGTGCAGACATAACGAGAGAGAGAGAGAGAGAGAGAGGGAGGGGGGGAGGGAGAAAGAGAGAGAGAGTCCCTTCTTATTTTTTTAATTATTAAAATAAATAAATTAGCATTTGATTTAAGAAGAAATGAAAGAAAAATGAAAAATAAATACTCCAAGGGTATTACAGTCATTTCATTATTCAGAGGTACTAAAAACACAATAAAACTAGCTCAAAAGGACCACGAAGCCAAAAAAGTCGGGGTTTGGACTAAAACCCCAAAAAAATACATACCACAGGGACCATTTTTGCAATTTTGTCTATATTAATAAATATTATTTTTAACATATAATATTCATCTACTTTATTGGATTATTAAATTCATTTAATTAATTATTTTTAATTTTTTTATTTCGTTAATTCTTTTGATTGGATTTTTATATATTAATAAATATTATTTTTAATATATTATATTTATATATTAATAAATATTACTTTTTTATTATTAATTTTTTTAATTGATTTTTTTTATTTCTTCTTTATTGCATTAATTCTTTTTATTGGATTATTATATATTAACAAATATTATTTTTAGCA